ACTGCACACTCATGTGCACACCTGCTCCTACACACACGTGCAACCTCATGCAATCCACCATAACACGCTTGCACATGCGCACACCTACCCTATACATGTGAACTTATACATACACACCACCATGCAGCCCCAACGGTGCTTATAATAGGGACACAGTCCCACACAGCCACGAGCAAAGGCTGCCTTCCCCCACCTGTGGGTCCTGCTCCCCTGCTCTGCATGCACTAAGGTCAGAAGCAGCTCTCAGCCTTCACCACAGCCAAGAGGAGCAGAGAGCTGAGGGAGGGATGCTGGGAGCAGCCTCAGGAGCAGGTGAAGCAGTGCTGCTACCCAGGGCCAGCCCCCATGCCTGCCTGGTCTGTGCAGAAGTCAGAGGCCCCGAGCCCTGCCAGAACATGGGGGAGCCAGGCAGAGAGACTGGAGCGGGGAGGGGAGAAAGTGGCCATGGTGCCAGTGCTCATGCAGTGTGGTATGTCACACAGGGCAGGGTCTGGGCATCTTCAGGAGTGCCAGGCGCCTGGACCAACACCACGGAGTGGATGCCCAGGGGGTGGCCCCACCTGGAGTTAGGGAAGCCTGGCTGTGTGTCCAGAGCCCACTGAGGGGCTACGTGACAGCCAGGTTGGAGCACCGACAGACAGGAAGTGGCAGCTGCGCCCCATCAGCTCAGGGCCTTGGGGCACCAGCCCCCCAAATCCCCTGGGGTAGGCTCTCTCCAGCCACTGCACCAGAGGGCCAAGGAGTGATCCCAGGTGAATGGCGACTGGGTGACACCACCAGAATGCGGCCCTCACCTGCCAAGAGCCTTGGCTAACAGCTCTGGATGACTAGAACACCTGGAAGCAACCAGAAGACCGAGTCTTCCACAGATGAGAGGGCCAGGCTCATGGGGCAAACAGAGGGGTTGAAGAGCGTGTGCATGCACGTCTACACACACATGTGGGGGAACAGCTCGGTTGCCTTGTATATATTTGTGACAGTACACTTTATCTCTGTTTTATGACAAGCCAACAAAGTATGAAAGCAGCTAACAGTCCCCCCAGCTCTCTCTGGGGTGAACAACCTTCTCCATGAGCAGAGAGGTACTCACACTGCCAGGAGACAGCTAGCAGAGACTGGGAAGACCACGCACTGCAGCATGTGAGGGCATTTCCAATGCTTGCCAGAGAGCCAGAGGGCACTTATGAAAATGAACCTCCTCCAGGATTTGTCTGGGGCAAGCCCCTTGAGCATGACGCCAGGCCAGCAGCTAAAATCAACAGCTAGAAGTGAGTCAACACGTGCGTCAGCCGGCAGGCTGCTCAGTTAATCCCTGTGTGGGGACCTTGCTAACAGCAGGACAACTAAAGTTTGCCCCAGGCCGCCACTGCTCACCACCGTCTCACGCACGACCGGCACAGTAGCCAGGGGGTGGCCTTGGTAAAAATTAATCTGAAATCCCGTCTTACTCAAAGTCATGCACATTGTTTTGCCTAGAGGAACACACACAACCCACCTGGTTGAGAGGACCTTTAAAAGACAAGGAAGATTCTAGAACATTACGTTAGATGGCATCTAGCCTCTGCTCCGACAGAGTGGAGGGGCTGGCCCCACACCTGGGCTCAATGAGCAGGGAATAATCCCCTTTTTAAAGCTCCAGTTTCTGCTCCCTGCAGCGTCCACCCAAGATCTTCCTCTGATATGGGACTAAAAAGTTGAGTCGCCTATTCTGCAGAGAAGGTCCAAACAAATTCAACTCTTGAGATGGAAAAATAATGAAATTTAAAAAATATGAGTGAGGAATCTACTTCTATGAATAGAATATTACAGAGCTCTCTGTCTGGGCCCGCGGTAATCGGCCCTTCTGCTCCCACGAGAAACCAGGAAGCAGCGTCACCACGCAGGCAGCTGAACAGACCCGTGAAGAAGGCAGGCTGGGGAAGGGAGCCGAGACCAGATTCTGCTCAAACCTCTTGGCAAAAATGTTCCCGTGTTGGCTCTTCCAATTACGTAATGTTAAAAATGTTAGGATTTTACGATATTATTAAGTTTGTTTTCAGAGGATTTTATCTACAATGACACCCTGCCCCTCCAGGCTCCAGAAGAGAGCTGTGTGGAGTCTGGAACATTCTTTGTGGGAGTAAGGCTGGCTCACAAAAAGGCGTCTGTCATTTTCACTTTGGGTTAAGACCTCTCCTTGTTCTGCAAAAGGCTGCTAAAAGCTGGAACAGCTCTCAGCCCTGGGAGATGCTTGTGGCGATTCATTGCCTCCCTTCACAAGAGACTCCTAAGAAGACAAACTGTGAAGGAATCAAAGTGCTGAAGCTTCAAAAACTGAAGGGAAACAGAGCCTTGTTTATCTCTTGTCAGAAGAGTTTAAATCTCTCCCTTCTAAAAAGGACTTTCAGCCTGGACACAGTGCCTCACACCTGAATCTCAGCAGTTTAGGAAGCCAAAGTGGGAGGCTCACTGGTCCCAGGAGTTTGAGACCAGCCTGGGAAACACAGTGAGACCCCCATTGCTACCCAATTTTTCCCAAAAATTAGCTGGGTGTGGTGGCACATGCCTGTAGTCCCAGCTCTTTGGGAGGCTGAGGTGGGGGGGATCGCTTGAGCCTGGCATCATGTTGAGACTGCAGTGAGCTGTGACTGCACCACTGCACTCCAGCCTGGGCAACAGAATGAGACCCTGTCATGAAGTAACACAAATAAATAGGACTTTTGGATGCTTCACAACACTGACTCACCACCTGTAAGTAGGTGACATATCATTTCCCAAACAGGATGCATACGTGAGGAGGCATTATTATAACAGTACTTACGCCAGGATGACATAAACCGGGACACCCAGGCCATGGCCTCCTGGCCCAAAGGGTCTTCTCCAAGATACCCTTTCATCTGTGACCCTTACTGGCATTTTGGGAGTGTCTTTGCCAAAACCGTGCCAGCACCCCAGCTTCCTCCTCTCCTGTTAGTAAGACGATGGACCCGGTATGTGAATATGCTTGCCTAGGGCCAGCTCTGAGTGGACCGTCAGTAAAAGCCATGTGCTCCCTTGGTTCAAGCTCTTGGCCATCCTGGCCTGTGTCTCAGAGCCTCTGAAGACTGGTTGGTGTTGTGCCTAGACATACAGCCTGTTCCAAGTGGGAAGGGCAGAGCCTTCCACCTGCCACCCTAGAGGACTTGCAGCTCTGGGCATTCAGGGGGATCACACTCAGACCCGTCAGGCTCTGAGTCCCTGGAGTGGGACTGTCGTGCCCGCTGCTCTCTGGGCTAAGCCGCTCCTGCAGCACTTGGGTTCCTGCTCTGACCCTCTCCCTGACTCCAGGATGGTGACCTGCCTGATAGCTGTGGCCCAACCATCTCCTGGTCCTGGCCCTGACTCATGCACCCATCTGAACACAGATAGCAGTTCCTCCATGTTCACAGTCAGTTCAGAAGACAGAGCCCCAGGGTGCCTGCATGATACTGCCCACAGGTAGCTATGACAATCATCTGCTGGGGCCCCTTGTGCTGGCCTCAGCCTGGGGATCCTGGGTCAGGAGGCCAAGCCTCTGGAAATCTTGCTGTTCTCTGCAGAGTGAGATAGGCAGGCATCTAATTTACCTATGCAAGCTGAACCGGGGGCAATTGTGAGGGGCCATAGGGCCACATGGCCAAGAAAAGCAAGAAAAGCTGTCAGGCCAGGAGGAGCCCGCATCGCTAGGCTTCCCACTCCCTGCTTTCGCCTGCTCACGCCAGCCAGGTGTGCCCACTGTCACCCTGCACAAGTGTCACCCACCACGCTCACACACTGGGCCTCGCTCCCTGAGCCCTTGCAGATCTGGGGGCAGTGGGCGCCTCTGCACAGCCTCCCTGGCCTGATGGACATGAGCTCTTTGTCTTGGGGGAAGGCATCTTCAAGGCACTGACCTCCATTCTGGACCACACACAGGGAATTCTGCTAAGTGACGAAGTCTAGATGAGAGTTGGCCTCCAGCCCCGCCCCACTGCCCCCACACTGTGCTGTGCACAGAAAGACCAGTGCTTGTCATCCCAGCACTCTTGCCCAACACTGCCTGGTTTCCAAGCATGACAGCTCAGAACAAAAAGGCCTCCCTCCCAAGGACACATCCTTATGAGGAGAGCTGATGCCCCGAGGTACCAGCGGCACGGTTCTAGGACACTCTGTTAGGCGAGGACCTCCCCACCTGCAGCTTCCCGGAAGGTGCCCCGCCTAAAGTGCATGAGTCCCTGGGAGGCAGGCTCTGGCCTGGCCGGGGTCTCGGTCGCTCACCTTCAGGCGCAGCGGCAGGTCTTCAGGGCTCTTCCCCGCCAGCTCATCATCATCTTCATCATCCTGCAGGAACAGGCTGCTGGGAATGACGCCCTTGGCATACTTCTTAGTGATCTCCACAAAGTCATCCAGCGCGATGTAGTTCTTGGCTGAAGCATGAGAGAAAACAGCACGGGGGCCTCACACTGCAGCCCCACTGCCGCCCTCACACAGAGGATGGGCCGGGGACAGCGGAGTGGGGCCAAGCGAAGAAAGGAGCTGAGGGGGTTCAGGTGGAGGAAAATCCTTCCCTGGGTGGCCTGAGGCGTGAGGACCAGGCTGGGTGAGGAGGAAGGGGCAGGTCTGCTGAGTGCCAGCCTCCACTCCCAGCCCCTGGGTGTGCTGTCCCCTTCCCAAGTGTCCCTTTCTGCTTAGCTCCTCATGCCTGGGGCCACTCACCCACACCTTTCAGCCCAGCTCACCTGCTAAGACTTACAACCTGCATCTCCAGTGGATGCTGTCACCTTCCTCTGCCTCCAGCTGGTGTGGGGCTTCTCATAACATAGGTGACAAGCCGCTCTGTGGGCCAGCGCCCTGCCAACCACTCCATCCAACATGATCTGCACAGGGACTACTCTGAGCCCACAAACCCCTCCACTCAACATGATCCACCAGGGCCTGCCATGCACCTGCTAACCCTCCATCCAACATGAGCTGCCACACGCCTACCATATGCCGGGTAACCCTCCATCCAACATGAGCTGCCACACGCCTACCGTGCACCTGCTAACCCTCCATCCAACACGATCTGCCACACACCTACTATGTACCCGCTAACCTTCCATCCAACATGATCTACCACACGCCTACTATGCGCCCACTAACCCCTCCATCCAACACGATCTACCACACGCCTACTATGCGCCCGCTAACCCTCCATCCAACACGATCTACCACATGCCTACTATGCGTCCATTAACCCTCCATCCAACATTATCTGCCACATGCCTACTATGTGCCCGCTAACCCCTCCATCCAACATGATCTATCACACGCCTACTATGTGCCCGCTAACCTTCCACACGCCTACTATGCGCCCGCTAACCCTCAATCCAACATGATCTGCCACACGCCTACTATGCGCCTGCTACCCTTCCATCCAACATGTGTCTGCCATGGGCCTACTACATGCCTGCTAATTCGTCTATTCAACATGCATCCTGCTATAGGCCGACTTACCCCTCCATTCAACATGTTCCACCAAGAGCCTGTTACGCGCCCAGTGACCTCTCCATCCAACACGATCCACCGAGAGCCTACTACTTGCCCACTGACCCCCTCTATCCAACATGATCCGCAAGAAGGAAACAAGGAACCTGAAGGACCCCAGCTGCTGTGGGTGAGATGGTGTCCAGGAGGGCCTCCATGAGAAGGATGGGAAAGAAAGGACATGCTGGGGTAGGGCAGAGGGAGACCAGCCAGGATGCTGCAGAAACCCTAGGGAGGAGACAGGCTGCATCCAAGATGGCAGCCATGATGGTGGGCGCTGATAGATCTCCTAATGGATTGGCTGTGTGTGCAAGAGGAGAGGAGACGGGGCAGCACCCGGGATGCAGTGGCAGCAAAGAGCGATGAGGTAGCATTGGTGGGGAGCCCGCACAGGTGGCAGTTGGCACAGGCCTCAGCAGCTCACTGTGAAAACATGTGAGCTGAGCATGGGACAACAAGGTACAGGAGACATGAAAGGGGCATGGGCTGGATGCAGCCTGGGCGGGCTGGGTGCTTGTGGTCAAGGACAGCATCTGACACAAGGGAGTGGTCACTAGTGTCACCCATACATCTCCCTACCAGGGCACGTTCCCTATGGGAGGACCTTGGTCCCCACAAGGAAGGCCCTTGTCCTCACAGGGACGAACACCTGGGGCAATGCCAATGTCCAGAGGGTTGGGAGACAGGACATCAGTCTAGAGATCCCAAGGAGTAGCCTGTGTGGCAGCAAGGGGACCGGGCCCAGTGGGGAAAGGGCTCTAAGGAGAATAGCGGTCACTTCTGCCCATGCTGCTGATGGATCAGGTCAGACAAGAACAAGAAGTGACCCAGCAAGGGTGTCACTGATGGCCTGGATGAGCCACTTTGGTGGAATAATGTGGGAAAGGCCTGAGAACACGGGAGGGGGATGACAAACACTCATTTCTGGGAGTTCTATTGGAAAAGCAGGCAGAGGAACAGGTGATACCTGATGGGAACATTCTGATGAGGGGGACACAATGCGGCTGCTGGGGCACTGTCCCTGAGGGCCTTGGGGAGGGGACCACAGGCTGCTCGTGCTGACTCCTAACTCGTCCCCATAACAGTGACAGGGCCTAGGGGCAGGGGTGCCTGGCTCATCACAAATGCCCACGGGATGGGAAGTGAGGCTGGGGTCTAGACTGTCTGCACTGCCACCCAGGATGAAGACCCGGGCTGGGCTGCTCCTGCCCAGAGGTGCCTCACTTCAGGACAGAAGGCACCGTGCTACCTCGGTGGCAAGACACTGTCACCACCTCTCTGTTCCTTGGGTTTCCAAGAGTCACAGATTTCTTTCCATTTCCATGTGAGGTGTTTGTCTCCCCCAAATGGAGCAGGAAAACGGAAGCCCAAGCACCCATGTCTGCCCACACAGAGGCGAGGGCTCCGACCACACCTTCTGGACCACATCCTCCCACGCGGAGACGAGGGCTCCCACCACACCTTCTGGACCATTTCCTCACTGGCCTGGTAGGAAGGTGGGATCTGTGCTCACACCTGTACTCTGACCCCCATAACCACAGAGGCTCTTAGGATAGGCGAGGTCCCTCAGTCCCCTCATCGGACCATCTTGCTATTCAGAAGAACAAACTGAGATCCAGAGAGGAAAATGAGAACTGCCCATGTCACAAGAAGAGCATGTGGCAGACCTGTGTCTGGGCCCAGCCCCCTGTTGATACTGAGCCCCTGAGCCCCTCGCCTATCTTCTCTAGGACAGAGCTCCCAATGCCTCAGATTGCAGACCTACCCAACGTGGATGGAAGACAGTGAGGCTGGGCAGCTGCACAAACATCCCAAAGGCACCCCCAGCTCAGTGTGCCCCAGAGGCTCTATCCCCCCATGCAGGATCTGTCTGCTCCATTCCCTGCCTACCTATAAAGGGCCCGTGATAGGGCGGAGCACCTCCCGCACCCTACTGGGTCTCCTGGGCCTTTGCTTATGTTGTTCCCTCTGCCTGGAGCCCCCTCCCCTAACGCCCTCCTCATCGTTCCCCACTCGGGACTCCCCCTCTGGTCCCCACCTCCAGTATTTCTCTGTCCAGGAGGGACTGGCATGTCGTGGTTTCTGTCCCGTGTCTGCCTTCCCTCCAGCGCAGGCGTTCCAGGTGGGCAGGGTCCACTCCTAGCACCCAGAACACTGACCCCCAAATGGACTGCCTGAGATCCTGGCAGGGTCAGGATGGGGGGGTCCCACAGGAAGGAGAGGTCGCCCTGCAGGCGCAGGTCAAGAGGCACGGGTGAGGCGGGACAGGGCTGCACTCACACTCACTGCTGACCAGGCGCTCCAGCATCCGCCTCTGCTTCTGCAGGGTCTTGGGCACCGGGCCTGGCTGTGCTCCTCCATCTGTAGCAGACAAGGTGGACCGACAGGCAGGTTGAATATCTCCTTGTGCCCTGCAGCCCACCAGAAACTGGCGTACCATTCCTAGGGCACGCCCATTCCAGGGGCACCCTATGTTCAACCCCAGGGCCCTCAGAGCAGGCGGCACAGAAGCCGCCACACCTCTATACCTCCAGCTGCTAGGGGCACTCAGCGCCCTGTAGCGTGCTCCCACTTGGCGACGGACGCAGTCCCTCCCATTGGTGGACATGGTCACAGAGCACTGGGCAGAATAGCCTCTGGTTTGTTCAATGAGTGAGCACTTGAGCCAGGGCCGATGTCAAAATGCTGCCCACACTCCTCCCCACCAGGATACAGTCTCTATGGGAAGGCTCTGGTCTCCTTGTCCCTACAATGAAGGTCCCTGTCCTCACAGGGAAGGTCCCAGCCCCTGTGGGAAGGTCCTGGCCCCTGTGGGAAGGTCACAGCCACTGAAGGAAGGTCCCGATCCCTGTGGGAAGGTTGTGGCCCCTGTGGGAAGGTTGTGGCCCCTGTGGGAAGGTCGTGGCCCCTGTGGGAAGGTCATGGCCCCTGTGGGAAGGCTGGCGCCTGGGGTGAGTCCACGTACCTTGCTCATTGACTTGGCCAACGTTCTCCAGCAGCTCCGCCACGGCCACCTGCTTTTTCTTCTTGGGGTTGAGCTTCCAGTACATGACCAGGGCTGCCTTGCGCACGGCCCTCTCCAGGTCAGTCTCGGAGGAGAGCTGCCTCACCTCCCGCTCATTCTCGGACGTGATGCCTGAGGGATAGGATGTGGTCAAGGCCTCGTGCGCCCCACCCAGAGCTGTCAGTGCCGCTTTGACCCCAGCCAGCTCTGCCGGGCAAGCTTTTGAGGAAGTCTCATGCAAGGTGTCAGAACTTGGTTACCAAGGAAGGCTGGTCACTTGACCCGGGAGGACATCGCAGCAAGCCCCTGCCCATGTCCACTCTCCAGCTGGGAGGCCAGGCGGGTCTCACAGCAGATGCCCCCGAGTGTCCCCTACGTGCTGGCGGGAGGGAGGCAGCCTCTTCCTGCTCCTCTGGCTCCCACTTCACCCTCACAGGACCCTCCCGGCAGGCACCGCTATCCCCCTCTCAGAGGTACAGACACTGAGGCACAGGGCCACATTCTGGCTCACCCAAGCCCACACAGGCAGAAAGAGGCAGAGCTATCTTGAACGCTGGTCAGTCTCACTGCAGAATCGCCAGCCTTGGTGCACTGGCAGGGCCACCCCTGTCTCCACAGGGCTTCCCGCTGTGTCTCAGCCCTTCTAAGGAAAACTCGGACAGTGGGGAGAGGGAGAGCAGGTTTTACCACTGGTCAGTGGCTGCCTTCCTCCCTTTATCCCCAACAGCCTGGGACAACAGCACAGTGCAGCAGACGCCAGGACTCACATGGAGCTCTGGATGTGTTTCTCCTTTTGAACATTTCCCAAATTTTCTTTTCAAATCAGAGCATGTATTTCTTTTCAAATCAGAAAGCACAACTGCACACAGAAGGTGTGTGCAGCTGGGAGGAACACATGGGGCTAACTGGCCTCCTCCCTTGCACGCTCTGCCCCAGCAGCCTCTAGAGTACTCCGGCTCCCGATAACGAGCCGTGGGACTGCCCAAGCCCACTCTGCCATTCCACTGCTCTGGAATTAGCAGGCTGGGTTGGTGAGAAATTCTGGCTAACAATGTCGCTGTTATGTTTTTTTCAAAATCGTCAGTTTAATTTTCAAAGAAAAACTCTGTATAATAAATGTAACTCTTAAAATATCATGACACGGGCCAGGTGTGGTGGCTCACGCCTGTAGTCCCAGCACCTTGAGGGGCCGAGGTGGATGGAGCACCTGAGGTCAGGAGTTCATGACCAGCCTGGCCAACGTGGTAAAACCCAATCTCTACTAAAAATACAAAAATTAGCCGGGCATGGTGGTCAAGCCTGTAGCCCCAGCCATTCGGGAGGCCAAGGCAGGAGAATTGCTCGAACTTGGGAGACGGAGGTTGCGGCAAGCCGAGATCGCACCACTGCACTCCAGCCTGGGCGACAGAGTAAGATTCTGTCTCAAAAAGAAAAATTATGACACGAAACCAGAAGGAAATAACCAAAATATAGGGAGCTGCTTCTGGACTTCAAGGTTGTAAGCAATTTGTATCTTTATGTTTTCTATATATTTCAAGTTTTCTATGATAAGCATAACATACTTTCACAATCTGAAAAAACATATCATTAGAAAAACAGCTTGGTGACACCCACTTTCATCTTTCCCTGAGGCATAGAAGCTTCAGGACGCACACTGCCCCATGGCACCTCAGTCAGCCACTTCCCTTGGGCAGGACAATGTCCTAACTGAACACCCGTGGCCGGAGCTGCATCCCCTTCCTCCCCTGCCCCTCTGTCTGAAAGAAAGGCACCTATCTTTGAAGAGTCAGCCTGCCTCCTTCCAAAGTGAGTGCACCTGCCCAGGTCTGCGTGGGCCTACAGCCCCTCAGCTGGTCTGCGCAGACTGGATGGACATCAGCTCAGGGGCATGGGCCGCTCTGACTGCAGGCCACGTCACAGTCTCCAACTTTGCGTCAGGGAAGCTGCCCTTCAGATGAACCCAGGATCGATGTCTCAGTTTGGATCAGAACCCGGCAGGGAAGCAGGATTTATAGTTACCACTTGGAGACATCAACACAAGCCAAAGAGAAAGAAAATGGCTTGGTCTGTGAATATCCCACATTAGGTCCAGAAAGTGTCTAAAATGACAAGGCCATCAGCAAAACAGAAACTGTAGGTTCCCAACAGCATCGCCAGCATTAGGTTTGGTAATATTTTAGCTGTTTAGTTAGCAAGCAGCATCACAAGCTGCTTGACCCTGCAGAGGCTGTTTTAAGCCTCACACAGACCCACCTTTTCTGTCCGCCAAGCACCGGCGAAGCAGCTTCACAGCCTCCCGCCGGCCCTGCTTTGCGGCAAGGATCAGCCAGTCCACAGCGGTGCAGCTGTTGAGTTCTTCATCCGTGTCGCTGGCTAACTGCAGGTAGTGCTTCCCCACCTGCAAGCCAGACACGGGTCAACCTCCAGCTTCTCAGACCCTCTCCTGCCCCACGCTCCCAGCCAGCCCACCTCCTTTCACCCACTTCCCTTTGTCACCCAGGCCAGGAAGGAAGGGGCGGAAATGGGGTCACACTGGGCATCTCCACTAGGCAGATGAGCCTCTGGCCACTCAATTCCCCACAAAACATGGTGAGACAGGTATGGCCACCCCATCCACACAATGAGGGAGCTACGGACTCCGACTGATACAGGTTCTCTTCCTTGAGTTGCTCTTGCCTGCCAAGGCTCACCATCAGTGGGTGGAAATCAGAACCATGACTGGTCCTTTACACCTCTCAAAACAGTCAGGAGAAAGCCAGGGCTGGAGAGAGGCCAGCTAATCAGGGGTTGGCACTGGCCTGTCGCCTGTTTTTGCAAATGAAGTTTTATTGCAATGCAGCCACGGCCACTCATTTACACGTTGTCCATGCTGGTTTTATGTGCTCCATGGCACAGCTGAGCAACACAATAGAGATTGCGTGGAGTCCAAAATATTCACCATCTGTCCCTTTGCAAAAAAATTACTGCTGAAATGGTCCAACTTCTCATTCTACAGATGGAAAAAGAGAGGCCCAGGGCACAGACAGCCCACAAAAGGGCTCACTATGCTCCCCCAGCCTCCAAATGCCTGGGCAAGAGGATGTGGGAGGAACTTTAAAGTACAATATGGCTGTGAGGTCAGGAAAGAAAATTTTTTTTTTTTTTTGAGATGGAGTATTGCTCTGTTGCCCAGCTAGAGTGCAATGGTGTGATCTCAGCTCACTACAATTTCAGCCTCCTGAGTTCAAGTGATTCTCCTGTCTCAGCCTCCCGAGCAGCTGGGATTACAGGCATGCGCCACCACATCTGGCTAATTTTTGTATTTTTAGTAGAGACAGTTACCCCATGTTGGCCAGGCTGGTCTTGAATTCCTGACCTCAGGTGATCCATCTGCCTTGTCTCCCAAAGTGTTGGGATTACAAGCGTGAGCCACTGTGCCTGGCCAGAAATTCATTTATGGTTTTGCATGGAAGCTTTTCTCCTCTTTAGGGAGAAGGGGCAGAAAACTGCTCAGGATAACTGTGGTCACTTGCTTGAGCCCTGTGCAAAGGGACAAAGAGTGAGGTGGTGAGAACTTGTCTCCTCAGAGGACACAGGACCCCTGGCCACCTCCTATCTCAGCATTCTGCTGGCTTCTCCCCTTACCATAATTCAAAAGCATTGTATTTCTGTGTCACTCTACTTGGGTGTTTTTGGTGTGCTTCTTCCACTAACCTGTCACCCATGAAGAGAGGGCCATGTTATGTCCCCAGCACTGGCACAAAGCCCAGCCCTTGGCTGATGCCTGAGTGAATGGTCACTGCTCTGAGGGCTCTGTGCATGCAGCTAACAGCCAGGGAGACAAGAATGTGTAGCATACACAGTGTATGTGCAGGGGTGGTTCTGAGCAGGCAGCTGCAGGAAGCCAGGAGGTCATCCTGGAGGAGGTGATGCCCAAGAAGAGGTGTGAGCTGGACAAGGGAGATGAGTGCTGCTCCCCAGAGGGGTGCCAGGAGGAAAATTGGCACAGTGAACATGGAAATTCCACCAACACGGAGCCCAGGCAGGGTGGGGTGCACCATGCTGGCTCCCAACCCCGATCTCAGACACCAACGCTTCTCTGTGGGCTGTGGAGCTCGTGGCCAGGCCCGCTGTGCTGGGGGCTGGGTCCTGAGCTCCCCATCAGCACTGCAGTCCTTACCTCGGTCTGTGCCTTGGGGTCCCCAGCCTTGGCCCTCTCTAGGAATTCTTCAAAGGGGATCTCCATGTCTCCCTTTGTGGGCCCTTTAACACAGAAGAAAC